CCCAGCAATTCATCTGTGGATATGTAGAGTTAAAATAAGCGAGGAACGCAGCGTCAGAGAGGTGCCACAGGCGTGACGCGTCGTCACTCATTTTATTCAGGAGTCCTGGGAGATAGTCGTGGAACGGCACATAGCGGAACACCCGTTGATGGTGGGACTGGAGGCGAAGCAGGGCGGCAGCCGGTCCTGTCGTAGTGGTGGATTCCTTGCGCTGCCAAAATTTGGCAGCTGTGTTGTTGTGGAAGCTGTGGATGGTGTGCTCCCGAGCATCTGCAGCAGTAGTGATGACATCGTGTTGGCACACCGTGGCAGACAGTTCCAAGTCGCCAATGCTCAACGAACCCCGTGGATTGTCGAATGTTATCAATCTGGATTGGACATGCTTGGGGTAGCGATGCCGCCAGAGTATGGGGCGCAGACCAGAGGGAGTATTGAGAAAATCAACACCGCCCATCCCCTGCCCGGAAGCGTCTGTAGTTCCAATAACACTCGGATCTTGAGGCATGAGTTCGGCTATCCTGGTGGGACGGTCGCCAAGGGTTTTGGACAGCTGACGGAAATCGTCCAGGAATTGGTGAACCATGGCATTCAGGCGAAGACGATGGTCCGGGGTTTCGGTTCGAAAGGCTTCTTGAAGTGGGCTAAACAGGCCGCGTGCACCTGGTATTCCAATCACCATGGATCGCAATTCACCCAGCAAACGATGCCAGTTCTTGGCACTGATGCGCTTCTTTGGGGGCCAATGCCGGCCAGGATGGTTTGGAGCCGTTCAATTTGATGTGGCGGAAGGCTGATGGTTTTGTCAACGGAATCCAGGAGCCATCCGAGTACCACTTTCTTGTTAGACCAGCTGGCGTCGCCCTTCTTGAGCTTTTTGACGGAAGCCGGCTCTTGACGAAAGGGGAGGTCTCTGTTGGAGTCCCGAGGTCGAAAAACACTGTCAAGCACGTGAAGAAGAGTGCGCATGGCTTGACGACGGTCGTTCTCGGTACCTTGGACCAAAGAGATGAAGTCATCAACGTAGACGTCAGCGTATCGCATTGGCCGACGGAACCGGGGTTGATGGATGG